ATCAGGCTTTTGAGCGCATGGCAATAAGGCCAAGCGCTTATTTCAGGGTTCAAAAAAATATAAGACAGGGTCTTATTTTCGGGGAAACACTGTACTTTGTAAGTAGCTCAAAATAAGAGCCTTGGTAGTACAGTGGTTTAAAGCACCCTGTTATTAACACAGCTGCCTGCAATTACTGCAGGTTCGAATCTTACCAGGCTCAAGGCTGACTCAGCCTTCCATCCTTTCTAAGATAGGTAAATTGAGGACCCAGTTGTGGGGGCAATAAGCTGACTTTGTATAAAATATACAAAAGTATGAAGGCTATTGCTTAGCGCATTGTAAGCCGCCCTGAGTCTCCGGAGAAGGGCGGCATATAAATCAAATTTAAAAAATAATAATAATTTTAAAAAAAATGGCAAACACACCTAATACTCCTTCCTTTCTCCCCTATTTTCCTCACAACAACAATCCTGTGAGGTGGATTAGATTGAAAGAGAGTTACTGGCTCAAAGTCACCCAGCTTTTATGCCTAAAGTTAAGGTAGGACTATAATTCACTGTCTCCTGGTGATTAGCCCAAAGTCACCCAACTGCAGTGGTGAAATCCTCCGCTGGTCACCAACGGTCACGTGCACGCATGTGCAGTGCGCACCAAGTGCACGCTGCACATGCATGTACAGTGAATACACTGCACATGCGCAGTGCATACCAAATGTGCGCTTTGCGCAGAAAAAGAAACCATTTGAAGGTAAGTAGAACAGCAAGGGGGGGAACAGCTGTGCCGCACAATTTATAAATCGTGCGGCACAGCTGATCGTCGGAAATACCAGTTCGGATCAGCCGGTAGCTTTTTTTTTTTACTACCAGTTTGCCGAACCGGTAGATTTTATTACTACCAGTTCACCTGAACCAGTGCGAACCGGTAGCATTTCACCACTGCCCAACTGGCTTTCGTGCCTAAGGTGGGACGAGAACTCACCGTCTCCTGGTGATTGGCCCAAAGTCACCCAGCTGGCTTTCATGGCTAAGGTGGGACTAGAACTCCCAGCCTCCCAGGTTCTACCCTGGTGCCTTAACCACTTGGCCAAGCTGTGCTCTTATTATCTTGCTATTAGGTGGCTGTTTATACCAGAGTTTTTCAACCTTGGGAACTTTAAAATCATGGCTGGCTGGAAAATTCTGGGAATTGAAGTCCACAGAATTTAAAGTTGCCAAGGTTGAAAAACACTGGTTTAGAGATTATTGGACCTAAATCCAACCCGGTAGGTGCCAGATCTGGTAAATAATGCCAGACTGAAGTTGGAATTTCAGCCATTCTGAATATTAAACTGCCCAGCCTCTTAAAAATCTCCAAAGGCCAGCAACTTACAACCTCTAGATGTCGAATCTTTCATGGATATTCACCTCTTTCCAACAGAAAGCTTTTCCTTATATTTAAAGTAAATCAAAACCAGCTCCTCTATGTCTTGTCAGTCATCTCTCCTGCAGGCCCAACGTATCGAGATCCAAAGTAGCTTCTTCTTATGACTGAACATTGAGATCTCTTGAATGTCACCGGCTTCTCGGCTCCTTAATCCTCTTTTGATCTTCTGCACAGGATCCCAATTTATCTCTAGACTTCAGATTGCCAGATCACAGTTTCAGACCCACGACGGACTGAGTCTTCAGTCAGCCAGGGCTTAATGTGAAGTGATAATAGCATGACACGATGGCACCTTTCACATTGTGAGGCCAACGTTGGAATACTGCATCCAGTTCTGGTCACCATAATGCAAAAAAGACGTTGAGACCCAGAAACAGGAGTGTGAAACTCAATTTCATTGAGGGCCGCATCGGGGTTGTGTTTGACCTCGGGTGGCCGGGTGGGCGTGGGCGGGGTGGGCATGACACAGGACTCGGGGCCACCTGTGGTGGCCAAGTACTAAGGCAAGACTTCCCTGAGACCCTCCCTCACTCTCATTATAATCTCCTTCCTTCCTTCCTTCCTTCCTTCCTTCTCTTCTCTTCTCTTCTCTTCTCTTCTCTTCTCTTCTCTCTTCTCTTCTCTTCTCTTCTTTTTCCTTCCCTCTTCATTCTCCTTTCTTCTTCCTTCCACTCTTTCCTTATTTTCCCTTCCTTGCTCTCTTCCCATCTTCCTTCCTTCCTTCTCTTCTCTTCTCTTCTCTTCTCTTCTCTTCTTTTTCCTTCCCTCTTCATTCTCCTTTCTTCTTCCTTCCACTCTTTCCTTATTTTCCCTTCCTTGCTCTCTTCCCATCTTCCTTCCTTCCTTCCTTCCTTCTCTTCTCTTCTCTTCTCTTCTTTTTCCTTCCCTCTTCATTCTCCTTTCTTCTTCCTTCCACTCTTTCCTTATTTTCCCTTCCTTGCTCTCTTCCCATCTTCTTTCCTTCCTTCCTTCCTTCTCTTCTCTTCTCTTCTCTTCTTTTTCCTTCCCTCTTCATTCTCCTTTCTTCTTCCTTCCACTCTTTCCTTATTTTACCTTCCTTGCTCTCTTCCCATCTTTCTTCCTTCCTTCCTTCTCTTCTCTTCTCTTCTCTTCTCTTCTCTTCTCTTCTCTTCTTTTTCCTTCCCTCTTCATTCTCCTTTCTTCTTCCTTCCGCTCTTTCTTTATTTTTCCTTCCTTGCTCCCTTCCCATCTTTCATTCTTTTCCTTCCTTCCTTCTTCTTCTTTTTCCTTCCCTCTTCATTCTCCTTTCTTCTTCCTTCCGCTCTTTCTTTATTTTTCCTTCCTTGCTCCCTTCCCATCTTTCATTCTTTTCCTTCCTTCCTTCCTTCTTCTTCTTTTTCCTTCCCTCTTCATTCTCCTTTCTTCTTCCTTCCGCTCTTTCCTTATTTTTCTTTTCTTGCTCTCTTCCCATCCCTTTCTCCTTTCCTGTCCCTTCTTGCATGCTCAAAATGGAGCTGGGGGAGGGGCACACGGGCTCCATTTTCGCTGGAAGAGGCACTGCAGGCCGTTCCTTTGCTGTTTCCAGGCTGGCCCTGTGGGCCAGATCTAAGCACCCCATGGGCCAGATCCGGCCTTGAATTTGACACCCTGCCCTAGAAAGAGTGCAGAGAAGAGCAACCATGATCAGAAGTTCAGAGGCTAAAACGTATGACGAACGGTTGCAGGAACTGGATATGTCTAATTCAGGATTCAGCAACCTGCAGCTCTGGAGCTGCATGTGGCTCTTTCACCCCTCTGCTGCGGCTGTCACTCAAAATATGCATCACAACCACCAATGTGCGACACCCACCAACATGCGATGTATTGAGCTTTTCAACCCCCGATAGGCCAACCATGGATAAATCCAAGAAAAGAAAAGTTTCAGAAGAAAACAGAATGTTTAATTCAACTACATATGCTAGTTTTGTGGCCACTCAAGAAATAGTCAGGCACGGGAAGGGTTTTGTGGCTCCCGGTGTTTTCTTTTCTGTGGGAAACGGGTCCAAATGGCTCTTTGAGTGTTTAAGGTTGCAGACCCCTGGTCTAATCTAATGAAGAGAAGAACAAGGGCTGACACCATAGCAACCTTCCAATATTTGAGGGACTGTCACAGAGAAGAGGGGTACAACATCTTCTCCAAGCACCTGAGGGTAGGTCAAGAAGGAATGAATGGAAACTAATCAAGGAGAGAGGCAACCTAGAACTAAGGAGAAATTTCCTGACAGTGAGGACAATTAATCGGTGGAACGACTTGCCTCCAGAAGATGGTACACAGGAAGTGGGCAGAGCAAAAGCCAATATTGGGCGGGACAACCCTTTTCTCATTGCCCCGAAACTGGAAGCGGGGAGGAGCAAGATAGATTCCACCGAGGGTGGAATAGCTGTTTGCAAAGCAGACTGCTGGGATAGACACAGGAAGTCTCAACATATGGCCATTCGTTTAAGGATGGTTCAGATTTATGACAGTGCTGAGAAAAATGTTCCAATATTTGAGGGGCTGCCAAAAAGAAGAAGGGGGTCAAGCTATTCTCCAAAGCACCTGAAGGCAGGACAAGAAGCAACGGATGGAAACTTATGAAGGAGTGAAGCAGTCCCTCTCTTCTCTTCTCTTCTCTTCTCTTCTCTTCTCTTCTCTTCTCTTCTCTTCTCTTCTCTTCTCTTCTCTTCTCTTTATTTATTTATTGGTTCAATTTATATGCCTCCCTTCTCCGGAGACTCAGGGCGGCTTACGATGCGTTAAGCAATAGCCTTCATACTTTTGTACTTAGGGCTTTCGGGCCCCCCTAAGCGGTGTTCTTTTTTTATACAAAGTCAGCTTATTGCCCCCACAATCCGGGTCCTCATTTTACCTACCTCGAAAGGATGGAAGGCTGAGTCAACCTTGAGTCTGGTGAGATTTGAACTTGCAGTAATTGCAGGCAGCTGGTGCTACTTAACAGCACTTTAGTCTGCTGCGCCACCAAGGCTCTTCTCTTCTCTTCTCTTCTCTTCTCTTCTCTTCTCTTCTCTTCTCTTCTCTTCTCTTCCTCTCCTCTCCTCTCTCCCTCCTCTCTCCCTCCCCTCCTCTCCTGCCTTCTCTCCTTTCCTCTCCTCTCCCTTTTCTTCTCCTCTCCCTTCCCCTCCCCTCCTCCCCTCTCTTTTCCCCTCCCCTCCTCTCTCTTCTCCTGCCCTCCCCTGCCTTCTCTTCTCTTCCCTTCCCTTCCCTAGTCTTCTCTTCCCTTGTTTTCCCTTCTCTTCTCTTCCATCTTTCCCAGCCTCAGAACCTTTTTCAGAGAGATGAGTCTTCACACCGTGTGTCCAAAGTCGGATCATTTGAACCTGGTCATCAGTGCTTTGAGGAAGAAACCTGACTTGATTTGTTGACATAATAAGAAAGGTAAATAATATTAAGAAAAATCATTAGGTGTCCTGAAGTCCAGTCCCAACCTCGCAGGTTGTCCCATTTTCTCCTCTGGCATCTTCAGGCTGGACTCTTCGGACTCCTCCCTGGGGCTTTCTGCTGATTGGCCAGGGAGCATAGGCCACACCCCTTCATAACAGGCAGCTTGTACAAAGCTTTGCTCTCCCTCCTCACCTGTTTCTCTCAGCCTCTGGAGGCTTCTCAGCTTTTATCTATATGAGATGGACCTCCAGTTTCCAGTTTGAAAGTGAGCTTTCTGTCTTGACGAGTAAGGAAGTGGATTTTATGCTAGGGTTGAGACCTTTCTCTCTTTCTCTCTTGTTTTTCTCTTTCCTTCTCTCTCTCTCTCACTCACATGCATCTCTCTCTCTGTTTTTGTCTCTTTCTCTCACTTTCTCTCTCCCTTTCTCTTTCTCTCTTTCTCTCTTTCTCTCTTTCTCTCTTGGTTTTCTCTTTTCTTCTCTCTCTCACACACACACATGCATCTCTCTCTGTGTTTTTGTCTCTCTCTCTTTCTTTCTCTCACTTTTTCTTTCTCTCTTTCTTTCTCTCTTTCTCTCTTGGTTTTCTCTTTTCTTCTCTCTCTCTCTCACACACACAAACATCTCTCTCTCTGTTTTTGTCTTTCTCTCACTTTCTCTCTCCCTTTCTCTGTATCTCTTTCTTTCTCTCTTCCTCTTTTTCTTTTTCTCTCTCCTCTTCTTTCTCTCTCTCTCTCTTTCTCTCTCTCTTACTTTATCTCTCCCACTTTTTCTTCCTCTTTCTCTCTCTCTCTCTCTGTATGTTCCTCTTTCTCTCTTCCTCTCTCATTCTCTCTCTCTTTTAACCCAAGGGAGGGAGGGAGGGAAGGAGGGAGGGCCCTTTATTCTAGAACCAGTTAGAGGTTTTTTGGGGGGACTCTTTTCAAAAGCAGAGAGACCGCATACATTTCTGTGGCTGGCAAGAAACGCCGAGATCTCCAACGTCCAGAATGAAAGCAGAAAGTCCTGATGATTTTTGTTTCCCTGTTGCTTGCCTTTTGTCTAGAAACCCAGCACGCCCCATTTGCATCGGTGTGCGAGAAGCGATGAGTTCCCAAAACGGCGGCAGCCACAGCTTCGCTCAGAGGTAAGTACCAGTCTTTCAAAGTGTCATTTAGCAGAGAAGGAACAGCAGGACCGAGTTAGAAGCTGCAGAAGGGACTGATAAGGCTTTTTCTGACGTCGGAGAGCAACAGGGAGATTAATTGCTATGGCCCATTTTTTTTTAGGTCCTGAGCGAAGAGGTGGGGCTGGGGGTTCAAGGGCTGAGGGATGAGGCAGACAAGACTTCGCCAAACTTCTGTTTTGAAGAGCTGGCCAAGGCCGTATTTGCAGTCATAAACCAACCACTCTCTTACAATCCCTCCTGACACTTTCCAAACCCACCGGTTAATGTCCTGCACGTGGGGCCATGGAGACAAAGAATGTGAGGGTTGGTTTTTTTTCCCCCATGAAGAATGTTGTTAAAAGAAGCAAAGAGTCTGTTAGATGGAGAGAAGAATTGAGAGAAGAGAAATGCATCTGATATGGGGAGCTCCAGATCATAAAAGTTTCTGCTTTGGGATAAAATCGGTTTAAGCAGAAAAAGGTGCTATCGGACACCTCCTGGTTCTTTTGGGGCACCACTGTAGATTAAAACAACTCTCCTTTGGCAATGAAGAGAAAGGGGTTTTAATCAGGAATGGATGAGGGTGTAAGAATCTGCGGTCAAAACACCTATTTCTATTTTTTAAAAAATTCATTCTCATTGAGAGAATAGTAGCTTTAGAGCAGGAGGTATCCAACTTTCAGTAACTTTAAGACAGGTGGACTTCAACTCCCAGAATTCCCCAGCCAATATGGGGAATACAGCTCTGCCTTAGAAGGATGCATTAGAGGGCAGTTATTCAACGTGGTGGCTCAGTGGCCAAGACGCTGAGCTTGTCGATTGAAAGGTCGGCAGTTCAGCGGTTCGAATCCCTAGTGCCGCATAACGGGGTGAGCTCCCGTTACTTGTCCCAGCTTCTGCCAACCTAGCAGTTCGAAAGCACGTTAAAAAATGCAAGTAGAAAAATAGGGACCACCTTTGGTGGGAAGGGAACAGCGTTCTGTGCACCTTTGGCGTTTAGTCATGTCGGCCAAAGGACCACGGAGACGTCTTTGGACAGTGCTGGCTCTTCGGCTTTGAAACGTAGATGAGCACCGCCCCCTAGAGTTGGGAACGACTATATGTGTGAGGGGAACCTTTACCTATTCAAGGCTGAAATCTTTCAATTGCACAGTTTGTGTCCAAACTCCTGTTCTTAAATGACCGCTATGGGCCAGTCCCTCTCCTTCTCTCAGGCCAACCGACCTCACAGGGTTGTTGTGGTGTGGAAAATAGGAGAGGGAAGCTATGTTTAGATATATTCGCTGCCTTGAGCTGTTTGTAAAAATAATAAAGGCGAGATACAACTAACTGTTTAGTTTAGCGTCTCATTTAATGTCTAGCTTAATGAAAAGAAGGACTAGGGGTGACATGATAGCAGTGTTCCGATGTCTCAGGGGCTGCCACAAAGAAGAGGGAGTCAAAGCCAGGAGTGGGATTCAGCCGGTTCGCACCACTTCGGGAGAACCAGTTGTTAACTTTCTGAGCAGTTTCGTGAACTGGTTGTTGGAATAAATTATTAGAGCAGAGGACCGGTTGTTAAATTATTTGAATCTCATCACTGGTCAAAGCTATTCTCCAAAGCATCTGAGGGAGGACAAGAAGCAATGGGTGGAAACTAATCAAGGAGAGAAGCAACTTAGAACTAAGGAGAAATTTCCTGACAGAGAGAAAAATTAATCAGTGGAATGACTTCCCTCCAGAAGTTAGAAGACCTCCAAGATCCCTTCCAACTCTGTTATTCTGTTCTGTTCTGTTCTGTTCTGTTCTATTCTAATTCTATTCTAATTCCAATTCCAATTCCAATTCTAATTAATAATTAATTTTATATTCTCTTCTCTTCTCTTCTAATCTATTCAATATTCTATTTTATTCTATTCTCCATATTCCATCCTATTCCATATTCCATTCCATTCTACTCTACGCTACCCTATCCTATTCCATATTCCATATTCCATATTCCATATTCCATATTCCATATTCCATTCCATTCTATTCCATTCTACTCTATTCACATAAAATCTTAGTCGCCCTGAAATGTTCAACTCTAGCTTTGCCCTCCAGAACAACCAAGGCGAACAGGACCATCCAGTTCTTTGACTGTCTGGAAATTCAGCTCTCAGGAAAGTAGGCATCATTCATGTCATCACGCTTTCCTCTTTGCATTTTGATACACAAACAATCAGAAGTAGAGTACGCTGTTCTCCTTATAGCTAGTCCTTGACTTACAACAGTTCGTTTAGTGACCATTCGAAGTTTCAAAAGCACAGATAAAAAATGACCGATGACCAGTTTTACAGCATCCCCACAATCACACAATAAAATTTGCAACTAGAAGGTATTTAGGACAATTGCATTTGTAATCTTCCCAGGCAGCTCCGGACAAGCAAACTCCAGGGGGGAGGGGGAGGTGTAGCCAGATTCAGTGAATAACTGCATGATTCGTTTAACAACTGCAGCAATTTGCTTAACAACTTTGGCCCAAAAAATGGTGCAAAACTCAACCATTATCTTCTTTAGCAATGGAAATTTTGGGGGCTAAAATTGTGGTCGTAAATTGAGGAATACCCGTTTACATAGTCCAATAATCCTGTGGGACCTTGAAATCAGACGATTATGTAATCTTTCTTGAGATGGCATCCTCTCTTCAAGGGGTATCTTTCTAATCTAACCTAATGACAGCGATTAGATCAGTGTTTTTCAACCTCTGCAGCTTTAAGATGGGTGGACTTCAACTCCCAGAATTCCCCAGCTACCCACTCCTAGTCCTTTTTTCCATTAAACTAGACATACCCAATTCCAGCAACTGTTCTTTATATGTTTTAGCCTCCAGTCCCCTAATTATCTTTGCTGCTCTTCTCTGCACTCCTTCTAGAGTCTCAAAACTTTTTTTACATCGTGGCGACCAAAACTGGATGCAGGATTCCAAGTGTGGCCTTACCAAGGCATTATAAAATAGTATTAAGCAGTGGTGAAATTCAAATATTTTTACTACCGGTTCTGTGTGGTATGGCTTGGTGGGCATGGCTTGGTCGATGTGGCAGGGGAAGGATACTGCAAAATCTCCATTTCCACCCAGGTGGTATTTACCAGTTCTCCAAACTACTCAAAATTTTCGCTACCGGTTCTTCAGAACCTGTCAGAACCTGCTGGATTTCACCCCTGGTATTAAGACTTCACGTGGTCTTGATTCTATCCCTCTGCTGATGCAGCCTAGAACTGTGTTGGCTTTTTTGGCAGCTGCTGCACATGGCTGGCTCTTATCTAAATGGTTGTCGAATGGAAGAAAGGGAAAAGGAGAGGAAGGAAGGGTAGGGGATAGGAGTAGGAGAGAAGGTGAGTAGGGGGAAAAGAAGACAGGAGTGGGGGATAGGAAGGGGAAGTAGGATGAGGTAGGAGAGGAGGGAGGGAAGGAAAAGAGGAAAAGAAGAAGAAGGGTTGTTGCAAAATGAGGGAAGAAAGAGTAGAAGAGTAACTCCGAATGTAATTAAAATGCCTTATTCTAATGCTTTCTTTAAGGAAAACATGTATATGTAGGATTAATTATGTATAAGAAAATGTACATTTTATATTATGTGTATAAGAAATAAAACTGAAAAACTTTCCCATATTTAAATGGTTGTCTACTAGGACTCCAAGATCCCCCTCACAGTTACTACTATTGAGCGAGGTTCCACCTAGACTGTTAGTTAGTTAGTTAGTTAGTTAGTTTATTATATTTATATACCGCCCTTCTCCCGAGGGACTCAGGGCAGTGAACAGCCATGGTAAAAACAATATACAACAAAAATTAAAAGCTTATTAAAATAATTCAATCATTCGGCCAAATTTAAAACATTCAACTAAGATCATTTTAAAACCCCTATCAAAACCCAATTTAAAAAACCTTTATCCTGTCAGACCAGCTTGCTGGAATAATAGGGTCTTCAGAGCGCGACGGAAGGCGCGGAGGTCGGGGATCCTTCGTATGTCCGGGGGCAGTTCATTCCATAGGGCCGGGGCCCCCACAGAGAAGACTCTCCCCCTGGGGGTCGCCAGCCTACATTGTTTGGCCGACGGCATCCTGAGGAGGCCCTCTCTGTGGGAGCGTATTGGTCGGTGGGAGGCAATCGGTGGCAGAATGCGGTCCTCTAGATAACCAGGTCCTAAGCCATGGAGTGCTTTAAAGGGGTTAACCAACACCTTGAAGCGCACCCGGAAGACCACCGGGAGCCAGTGCAGCTCGCGCAAGATGGATGTTACATGGGAGCGACGAGTCGGCCCCATTATTACTCGCGCGGCTGCATTCTGGACCAGCTGGAGCCTCCGGGTGCTCCTCAAGGGGAGCCCCATGTAGAGAGCATTACAATAGTCCAGCCGGGAAGTGACGAGGGCGTGAGTGACCGTGCGCAGGGTGTCCCGATCCAGAAAGGGACGCAACTGGGAGATCAGGCGAACCTGATAAAAAGGTGCATTTTTATTTTCCTTGCCTAAATGCAGAACTTTACTATTTTCAACCGTTGAATTTCATTTTGTTAGAGAGGGCCCGATATGCAAGTCTGTCAAGATCCTTCTGTATCATATGTCCATCCCAGGCGATTATCCCTTTTCACAGCCCTCTTTCTTAATTCAATGGAGCCAAAAAGCAACAGCTGAATCCTTCTCGCTCTCTAAGTCATCTCTTCCTGGTTGCCAGCTTTGTGGAGCGACCGAGCAGGGGGAGTTCGCTCGAAGCGTGTACCTGCATAATTTAAAATGTGCCTCAGGCACACCGATTTGATTTTCATAAAAGGGGGAATAAAAGAGAAGAGGGATTTTAAATGCCTGCCATTGTCATCTCTTTGCAGCTGCCGTGCGCTGTGAGCTTCAGGATGTCCCTCACGCTAGCGTGGATCGTGGTTCTTCTCACCTGTCTCTCCTGCTTAGGTAAGAACGGAGGTCCAGAAGAGTTTTTGGTGGGTTCGGTATGGGCGGTCCTCGACGTACAACCGTAGTCAAGCCCCCAACACTTCTGTCGCTAAACAAGACTGTCAGGTTTCGATGCTATCTCAAAATAAATGAATTTCCAAACTGTCGATCATTAAGGAAATTTTCTCCTTATTTGAGCACAGTGATCTGATCCTGGCTCTTTCGCGGTCAGTACTGACCTTTGCCCCCCAATCCCTCCCTTTCCGATCCCCAATTCTCTGCTTCTCATTGGCTATCTTCCAAGTCACTTTCCTGATCTCTTCTTCGTCAGATCACAGGAATGTCTCCCCCCTCTCCCATCTCCGAGGAGACAGAATCTTCAAAAGGATTTAGTAGGCAAAAGTTCAAACTTCTCCTCTCTTTATATATGTCAGTGCTGGGACGCTGACAGAGACATTTGTTAAGGGAGTTTTGCTCCATTCTAGGATCTTCCTTGCACCAGGTGTAAAGCGAATGACTGCATTTATTAAATTACAGGTAGTCCTCGACTTAGAACCGTTCACTTAGTGACCATTCAAAGTGACAACCGCACTGAAAAAAGTGACCTATGGCCCTTTTTCACACTTACGACCAGGAGTGAAATCCAGTAGGTTCTAACAGGTTCTGGAGAACCGATAGCGGAAATTTTGAGTAGTTCAGAGAACCGGGAAACACCACCTCTGGCTGGCCCCAGAGTGGGGTGGGAATGGAGATTTTGCAATATCCTTCCCCCAGGAGGGAAGGGAATAGAGATTTTGCAGTATCCTTCCCCTGGAGTGGGGTGGGAATGGAGATTTTGCAATATCCTTCCCCTGCCATACCCACCAAGCCACGCCCACAGAACGGGTAGGGAAAAATTTTGGATTTCACCCCTGCTTACAACCTTTGTAACATCTCCATGATCACGCGATCAAAATTCAGATGCTTGGCCACTGGCTCGCATTTATGACGTTCGCAGTGTCTCCAGGTCACACAAATCCTTTTTTTGCAACCTTCCGACAAGCAAAGTCAAGGAGAAAGCCAGATTCACTTAACAACCGTGTGACTCACTTATGAAACTGCAGTGATTCACTTAACAACTGTGGCAAGAAAGGTCATAAAACGGGGCAAAGCTCACTGAAAAAAATGTCCCGCTTAACGAAAGAAATGTTGGGCTCCATTGTGGCCGTAAATTGAGGACTACCTGTAGCAATGCAGTTGTTAAGTGAAGCTGGCTTCCCCATTGGCTGTGCCTGTCAGAAGGTTGTAAAAGGGGATCACATGAGATCCCGGGAGACGGCAACCGTCATAAATATGAACCAGTTGCCAACAGTCCTGAGTTTTGACCACACGATCCTGGGGATGCTGCAACAGTCATAAGTGTGAAAAATAAGTCACTTTTTTTTCAGTGCCGGTGTAACTTCGGTCACTAAATGGAACTGTTGTAAGTGAAGGACTGCCCATAAACTTAGCTTGAGTTCCTCATTTTCAAAAGAAGTGTCTTTCTCTGCCCATCAGATCATTAGCAGATGTCAAATCAATAACACCCCCCGTGGAAGCTGTTATCTTGCCTTCTCTACAATTAAATGCTCCAGGAAATAAACCGCAGAGCACTGACGTAGTCCTCCAGTCTAAATATAAGCACTTGCTCATTTTGAAGCGCAGGCAGTCCTCGACTTACGACCGGTTGCTTAGCAACCCTTCGAAGCAGACTTCCCAAAAGATAAATATACCGAAAGCCCTCGACTTACAACAGTTTGTTCAGTGATGGTTCAAAGTTACAACGGCACTGAGAAAAAGTGGCGTGACGGGTTTTTTCGCACTTACGACCTTTTAGGCCTCCCTGTGGTCACGTGATCAAGGAGCGGTGCGGTGGCCTAGAGGTGGAGCTCTCGCCTCACAATCAGGAGGCTGTGAGTTCGATCCTAAGCAGAGGCAGATATTTCCCTCTCTCTCTGGGCACAATGAGAATATATCTGCTGAGCAAAACTCCTCATTGGCAACAGGAAGGGCATCCGGCCAGTAAACACTCTGCTAGCTTCATTCAGTTGCCTTGACTCCACCCCGCAAGGGATTATGGGATTGTTAAAAGATTATGACGCAGTGGTGGGTTCCTCCCAGTTCGGTCCGGTTCGGCCAAGCCGGTAGCGATGACGATATGACCGAACCGGTTCTCCCCCCCTGCCCTCCCACCCACCCCCACCCACCCACGTTATTCTTACCTTTTATTTGGCCCCACCCCCAATCTATTGCTGCCTCCTGAGTCCCAGCTGATGACTAGAGGGAAAAAAACTGTTTAAACTCTTGCCCCGGGGCTTCAAAGGGCCGCCCTACAGCTGATCAGTGTTAAAAGCGAACAAATGAGTCGGGTCGTAAGTGCGAGGACTGGTCGTAAGTGCGAGGACCTTCCAGAAATGACTCTAACCAGTTAGCCACGCCCACCTAGTCACATGACCTCCAAGCCACACCCACAAAATAAGCCACACCCACAGAACCGGTAGTAAAAAAATTTAGAACCCACCCCTGTTATGACGGTGGTCATGTGATCCACAGTCAGATGCTTGGCAACTGACTCGTACTGGGTTTGTACAGGTAGTCCTCAATTTACAACAGTTCATTCAGGGACCATTTGAAGTTACAATGGCACTGAAAAAGTGACCTATAACCATTTTTCACACTTATGACCGTCATGTGATTACATTCGGATGCTTGACAACTGACTCATATTTATGACAGTCATAATTCCTGGGTCATTCAATCCCCTTTTGCGACCTTCTGACAACCAAAGTCAAGGGGGAAGCCAGATTCACTTAACAACCCTGTTAACTAACTTAACAACTGTGATGATGATTCATTTAACAACTGTAACAAGAAAGGTCATAAAATGGGGCAAAACTCACTTAACAAATGTCTCACTTAGCGACAGAAATTTTGGGCTCAATTTTGGCCGTAAGTCCAGGACAACCTGTATTATCAATTTTGAAGCTCCACCTCCACCCCGGATGTTAAGCAAGGCAGTTGTTAAGGGAGCTTGGCCCCATTTTTACATCCCGTTTGCCACAGTCATTAAGTGAATCATTGCTGTTGTTAAATGAATCATATATGTCCCACTTAATGATTGTGGGTATATTCGCTTAATGACCAGAGAAGAAGCAAGGTTATAAACCCATTGTGGTCACATGATGTTTTGTTTAACGACCATAATGCTTAGTCACCAAATCACTGATAGCAATTGGGATCGCTAAGTGAGAACAACCTGATCTGTCCTCGTCCACACACACACACAAACACAGCCAGCCAAGGGTTAAGGAAGCACTTGGCATACACCCAGGTCTTTATCTCCAACTTGGCAGCGATATACACACCGTCTGCCAAGTGCTTTTATTTCCACAGAAACAGAAAGATAATATACTCAGCGTACAAGAGTCCAACAGAATTAATATTCCTCTTAGCAGTTTCGGACGATGCTTTAGTGACTATCCAAGGTTTATTTTTTTCGTCACAGGGATCACTGGCCACCACCCTCTATTATATAGTCTCTGGGGTGTGGTCCAGTGACTCAGTTCTAATCCCTAGCACGCCTACTGAGCTGCTGCAATTGTTTATCACGCCTTCGGAGGCGTGCGTCCAGGAATGATGTCTCTCCTTCACTCTCATCCGAGACACCTGTCTCTCTGTTAATCTCCTCTCCCTCGGCTGGCACCTGAGACAGTGCCAGAGGGGAGGGGCCTAGAGAGGGAGGCTTGGCTGACTCCTCTTCCTCATGCTTGGAGCTTTCTTCCTCCGATGGGATAGGCTCAGAGGGCGGGGCCACAACACAACCAGCATAAATCTCCCAATCTAACCAGTGGTTAAATTTTCTACTACTGGTTCTGTGGGCGTGGCTTGGTGGGCGTGGCTGGCTTGGTGGGCATGGCTGGCTTGGTGGGCGTGGCTTGGTGGGCGTGGCAGGGGAAGGATACTGTAAAATCCCCATTTCTTCCTGATCAGCTGGGTCTCGAGAGAATAGATGGGGGCGGGGCCAGTCAGCATTTTTACTACCGGTTCTCTGAACTACTCAAAATTTCCACTACCGGTTCTTCAGAACTGGTCAGAACCTGCTGAAACCCACCTCTGAATCTAACCTACAACAACCACCAGCCTCATGACATTTCCTCCAGATTCCCGTTGGCTAGTTTCCCTCTCCCTACGGTTCTTTTTCTTCTCTTTTTTTCTTTTCTTTTTAATTTAAAAATGGTGTAAAGAAGGGGAAAAGCAATTACCTGTCTTGCAATAGATTCAGAGCCTGGGGCTCCATCTCTTCCGATGAAGATTGCACCCGATGCGCAGGTGGAAATCAAAGTAAATCTTCCACCCCGCTAAGAATCCCAGGAAGACATTTAGAACGAAGACCATCAAATCCTCAGTCTATGGAGATTCTCAGCCATCCAGGTCATGGTTGTCCCAAAGGTGCTTTTTCAAGAGGCAACTGGACTTTCTTGGTTTTTTTTCTTTGAAGACGTTTCACTTCTCATCCAAGAAGCTTCTTCAGCTCTGACCCGATGGTGGGGAACAGAAGGATTTATACTCCTTGCAGACAGCTGGTCATTTGCATCCTTTTTAGAGAGTCGCTGAGGCCCCTTGGAGATTGGTTTGAAAGAGGGGTCAAAGAGGCCATTTATGTCAAAATTGAACAGCCCTCTCTCAACAAAGGGGGAGGGATACGAGATCATCTGTCTCCTCTTTACAACACAGTCCTTTCAGCAGTCCTTAGGAGGAGGTCTCCTTGAGAGTAAGGCTTGGGGCTAATTGGCCACTTCCTTAGCCTATTGAAGGAGGAACGCCGACTGAAGCAATTTGCAGGGAACAACTTAGTTCACATAACTTCGTGTCTTGTCTTGCTTATCTTATCAGCTTCCTGCGAATTGCTTCTGGGCATTCTGCCAACCATAATAAGCTTTCAGTTATTATTTTTTGAATTCTTGGCGGCTGTCAATGCAATTAATTAACAGCCGTTGTTG